CTATGAGGGCCTTGTTCAGTCTACCAGGTGTCGGATGGCGCAAGGCTCGAGGTGGACAGAAGTTGACTTGGCAGCAGGAAATGAAACCATTGACGACCAAACTGAGTGCCGTTGGTCCTTCTCTCCTTCCGGGTTGGAGTTCACGTGACTCACCTTGTGCTTGGCTCGAGACTTTACAGGCCATGGCTCGCAACCGACACCAGTGGCGCGTCTGCTGCCGTCTCCTAATCTGATTGCCTGTTTAAAGTGTGTTTGGTGCTGAGTTATCTGCAGGGTAATGGCTGATTATGACGCGTGGCAGTGAAAGCCGCAAGGAAGCTGTCTCGCCGATGCCGCCTTATCTTTGCACGATAGCCAGCTGTTTGTGACGGAATGTTGTCTACACAAGGTGTAGGCGCCTTGACCCTGAATGTTTGCTTAGGGCATTAAGGTTTTCAGGTAAGTCCCCATTCTCTCTCTCTTCTTATTCTTTATTTCATAGGTCTTCATGGTTGTATGGCAGCGAAGCATAAGTTCCAATGGCTGATGTACTGCTGTTGATGATGATGATGACAGAAGTAGCATCGTTATCATAGACTGCTTCCACAGGATGAGCCGTGATGCCCTCCTTCCAGTACAAAACCAAGGCACTCTCAGACCTCACTCTGGAACGGTCGGCCAGAAACAAGTAATACTCCTAAATTTGAACCTGATTCCAGACGGTTCCAAGATAACCAGGTCTGTGAATTACACTAAATCCGGTTGTTTCTTTAGAGCAAGGAATTGAATTTCATTGAGCTTGTTTCTTGTGCTACACATCTTGGTGGATATCATTCGTAGCCCATTCGTTAATCTCGCTTCATTGGTATGACGAAGAATGGTTTCCATTTAACTCTCTATGCTTTCCGTACCACGCGAAAATGCACAATGTGGAACTTGCCTTTACCCTTTGCTCGGTGTCTCCGTAGGTCCTCATCACCGCTCTTCATTCGGACCTGATCCTCTGGGAATAGGTCTCGCAGTGCATGAAATGATTCCCCATTGAGATTTAAGGACCGTCTGAGAACACGACGGCATTCATCTTCATCCTTGCAGATAACCTTGTGGGGACGAGCTTTGAACAGCTTTCTCGCTTGCTGCCGATATGAAAGGCTAACATACTATTGATTTCCATCTTGTCTTCATCGAAAAGCTTGGAGATAATTCGTTCTAGAGACTCCTGGTCGTCCTGTATCCTAGCAGCTGCAGTATCGTTTCAGAAACGGAAACGTTCATGATGATCAAGCATCGATCCCGAGTTGTGTTGTTCTGATGAACCGGCGGTCTAGAAAGCGGATTATCCTTAATCATCTTTTCTAGGTGGCGTGCTCTGCCAATAACTTGCTTCAGCTGAGAATGAGGAAGGTTTGACTTTTATTTGGACCTAGAAACGCTTCAGACTGCACTCCGGTTAACGGACGTTGGAGCTGCGACGTCGCTAATGACTGTTGCCCAAGTTTTGGTTTTAAGATCGTTGCTGTTCCCAGCCAGCCTCAGCGGCTCTGCAAGCGATGTAGCTTAAACGCGACGGCAGGTTAGGTCGAACCGAAAGCGCATAATCACAAACCAAATGCCGTCCGAGTGTGAGTACTAACTACATCAGCTCGAGGAGGAATGGATCGCGAACTGAGTACGATCTTGTCGTTTGAGACATGCCTACCACTCCCAGAGCTCTGACAGACAGTATGGAGCAAATTGAGAATCGCTGCTGGGGACAATTAGATATTCGGAAATATTTAGGACAATGTCGCAGCAAGCAATATGGAACCACCCTTCACAGAGCATGTACTGCACAGCTTTTGAGCGAGTAGAAACTCCTTCTTCGCAATCTGTACACTTGGATACGATGGCTAGGGGTAGCACGACACCTTGGTTCAAAGGAAAGTTTCACAACAGTCAAAATCCTGCAGCATGTGTTTAATTCAACAGTGTCCACCACGATAGTTCAGCTAAAAGTTTAGAAGTATAGCAAGTCAGAAGATCGAGTTACTATATGTGGGTCAAATTTAAGTTCAGCATCAAGTATAGCTGAATAAAGGTAGCTAGTATGCTTCGGCGGTGAGAGCAGACCAAATTATTTTTAAATATTCTTTAGTTTGTGGTTGGCCTTCTTTTAAGGTCTAGTTTGTCAACTTTTATTCTACATTTCTGAATTAACAACTATGTTGCAGTTTTATCGTGTCCCTATAACATCCATCAGCGATTTCTCTTCCGATTCTGACAAATGATCTCCAAGCTTCATGTCGTTTGATGGGGTTTCTTCTGCTGACACTGATCGTTTTATAGGGTTGCATTGGGTGTTTTATGATACTTAGGATTTTCGGATTTAATTGTCTAGTGTATTCTATATCGGGATCCACATTGTTTTGGCATGGCGTGCTTTGCCTCAAAACTTCTGGAACCATTTGAATGGCTTCGTCCCACGTACGCAGGTGCACATATCTCAATGATTCGAATGGCACCTCATTCTTGACTCCAAATTATTTTTAATGGTTATAAGCCTTTCTTTTGGCTACTTTTGCTCCTTTATTTTACTACATAAGAAACTGTTCCTGTGCTTGTAACACCTTTCACCAACACCATTCGTATTAGATCTAGCACCTTATTTTCGCACATCCATCTCATTTTGAAGCTTCTGTTTAATTGTAGTTATGGGTAGAAATTCTACACCTATAGTCTCAGTCAGGCAGCCATCACGCGCTCCGAAAAGCACTGTCACAATAGCTGTTGCTGTCCCCCGTGACGCACTGATTTCAACCACAGACTGGCAACTGTGAAGTTGCGAGTTCGAACCCCGCAGGTGTCAGATGAGATGCACACTGCTGACGACTCCCGAAAGGATGAAACGGCCGCATGATGCTTTTCCAGGCGTGCGCTAGCTGTCTGACTGGGTCTAGAAGTGCGGAATTTCTGCCTATAACATTAAACTCCCGCTACTACTCCCTTGTACTTGTAATTAGTTGAAATTTGCTAACCCCTTGTCCCCTTATGGGTAGTACTTCCCACCGGTTCCGCTTCATTAAAATTTGCTATCTCTTAAACCGCATGTTGTACTGACGTTTCTCTACATCATAAACCTTCCAGTAGCTGATTACCCTGTGAATTATCTGGTCATTTTATGTACAGCTTCCTTTGTGTGTCTGCTTCAATTAGTCGTGTTCCTCCTTTCACCTTTCCTCTCACCGTTCAACGTTTGCGAGCAATGTTGCAGGACTTTTCCTTCAAACGTAGCCTTACTCAGCCTAGTCACTTCGCTCATCCCGTCTAGCACAACGCAGGTTGCTTATCTTGAATGTCACTTTATTCACACCGTTGATCTGGTGTGCGGGTGCAAGTACATTCTTTTCCTTGTTTTCAGAAACTTGTATGTGGGGCCCATCAATGTCTTGCTACGTGGATGATTAGCAGTAGGAAACATGATTAAACACTTGGTAGGCACCATTCCTCCGACAAACAACTTGTTTCGCGATTGTCGGTGGGCATTATACAGCAAACTTTACCATTTCCCACTACTTCCAAACTTGACTCTAACGACTGCGACTGAAGTTCGCGGACAACACCAACAAGGTCACTCTCCAACCCCCTGCCTTATCCGTATCCATATTAGAAAGTGGAGCAGCCAGTTGAGCAATAGCTCAAGGCCGAATGATCAACCCGGAGGTAAGCAGTCTGCACGCACTGGTGAGAATCGATCAAGAGCATTGTTTGAGCTACATGGAAGTAGGACCAAACTGAAACCCACGTGAGCCATCGCACGAAGAAACAGCAGTTGCGGATCATATCAGCGGACAAGACTAGCTCTATAGCATTACCCGCAAAGTTGCACAACTGGTCCAAAATATTGCACAGAATGCGCAAAATATTGCACAGAATGCGCAAACTTTTGCAAAGAAAGTCCAAAATGTTGCAAAACCATCCGCGATTCGTCAGCCGCTCAGAGGCATTCCTCTGACCTTAATTGTGTTCTCATTGGCCGGATGCCAATCTTCGGTGCGTCAGTCTGGGGAGGTGAGCACGCTGCCCGTTCACTAGCTGAGACTTGTGAATGAACCTTAGAGGCATGCACTTTGACGGTGCAACGGGCTTGTATGCGCTTCCCTCACGTCCGAAACAGTGGATCACAATTGGTCGGAGAGCAATGGACAGCTGGAACATAAGTGCACGGCCGAAACAATGTCTGTGCTACTAACGTCGTCGGCATGCCTTCTCGCGTTCGACAGAGTATCTCATCAGACATTCTTGACCGAGTTTTGGGCGCCTTCGTCAACGGTGTTGATTGGCAGCTGGTGACAACTGGGAACAACGTCAAATATTAAACAGCCTACTCCTGGATTCGTCATTCACTTGATGAGGAGCCGAGTACTCCGCAGACGCGCGGTCGTAAGCGGATTCTATCAGAGGAAGACGTAGATGACATCCTGGATTGGACCGCAAGGGACTCAACTCTTACGCAACGGGAAATGGGAGTACGAGTACGAGCAGAAATGGACAAGGACATTTCGAAGTCAACAATCGCCCGGCACCTGGATGGTTGATTGATAACTATGAAGAACATCGATCAGGTTCCCGAGGAAATGAACAATGAGCGAACAAAAGTGATACGCAGGGAGTTCGTTTAGCAGTTTCTGCAACTTGAGAGCGATGGCAATTTCTTCATTTGGATTGACGAGGCGAACCTCAACGTTTACTGCAACGTACTCGTGGTCGGGCGCCCATAGGAGTAAGGGCCTGTTGCAAAGTTGCCAACAGTAGAGGCCTCAATTTGCATTTGATCGGTGCACTCACAATGGAAGGGAAAATGTCGATGACCACCCGGAGAGGCTCATTCACAGGTCCCCTATCTCTCGAATGGTTGCGAAACTATTTAGACAATCAGAAACGGGAGGTGGAGCTCCGGCAGGTTGTCGTGGTATGCACAATGTCACACATGACTGGAAGAACTGTCGTCAATAGATGGATACGAGGGAGTAAGCATCCTGAGATTAAGCCCATACTCTCCGTTCCTCAATCCGATCGAGAATGTTTGGCAGGTGGTGAAGGCCAGAGTGAAGAAGGAGATGAGAGTGCATTACGAGGAACTTCTGGCCAGGGACCCCCAGAAACTCATGACGCAGGTGGAATGGAGGCCGCAGTTCCTTGAACGCATTGTCGGAGCAACCACCAAGGATATCAGCATTGTGGGATGTCGTAATGCTATTCGACATATGCATGTGCATTCTCTCAATGGTCTAGAAAAAGTGACATGTTTTGATCACATTGCTGACGTAGTTTTTTATGTATCTGGTTGTATAGCACTTCGTTGGTAGCGCGTAGGGACTTGTGAGTATTCACAGTGTTCTCAAAATACGTATACACATACGTAAGTTTGTGTGTTCGTACAGGGGTTGAAGCTATATCCGATGTCTAGCACAAGGGAGTGACACGGGACCGGCTTCCATTGAGCCATGCCCGAGTGATGTGTTCAACTTGTGGTCCTTTCTGTGCCGGTATTCGCTGCGTTATGCTCTTTCATGATAAGCCTGAGATAATGGAGATTCAGTTTCTTTGTTGCGAAAACTAGTATGTTTGCAAAGCGTATTGTAGGACCAATTGAGCTCGCTGGATGAAGTAACCGTCAGATATATCACAATATGGGATATCAGCGCGGATAGTTAAATAGCAGTGAATAGGAAATTACTGCGCACGTCATGTCAGCCTTTTCCAAGAGTGAGAGGAATTGACAGATACGCAGATGCGTGTTCGCAAACGCGTCTATTGCCAGACAAGGTGTCGTTATTGAAGCCGAACGAATAAATCACGTGTCTAATGGAAACCGTCTCTGTGCGATGTTTGTCCGTTGTATTTGAGTGCACTAGCGCGTTAATTCGTTACCCGATTGGAAGTTGGTCTGTCAAGTTCGGGACCCACATCAGCCAGTTCAGAAGCTGTAATTTAGATTTAAGTGCAACCATTCCTACAGCAAGCCATAAAGGTGCCATAAAGGCCAGTACGACTTGGATCATTTGGGATGATCCCTCGTTTGACCCAATAGCGTGCGCAAACAAATGGGGTGGAGTTGGCGTGGATACAGTGGCGTAGAAACTACTTTTGCTGTCCGTGGCGGACGTACAATTGCTGCCGGTCTCGTAGTTGTTAAGCTCACAATTGTAATTGCCATTTAATATTTCGTTTCACATAACAACAAGCACAGATTTAATTTTAGTGTGCTGTCGTAAATGCAGCTATTTGTATTGTTAACATGCTCGTGTTCAAAATTTGCAGGAAAATTTTTCGTGCACTACTTGAAGACGCTTGCATCCGAGCTGAATAAGCGCTCTTCGAACGCAGTTGAACATCACTGGTCGAAAATCCGGCAGACTTTGTTAGCAACGGGTATGTCTTAATGTGGCAAATCAAATCGCCAACCTGGACATTGGGTCACTACGCAGTCTCAGGAAATTATAGATGCTTACCAGCGTGTTCCGGCTGCTAGCGAACACAAGGAGATTCGAAGAGTTTTCAAGGCGAAACTGCTTTCTAATCTGCAAAGGGACCGGGAAGCCTGGTGACCGAGTGGTCTGCATGCCTGGCTTGCAATCATAAGGTCACCCGTACGAATAACTTTTCCTAGCCTGCTTTGGCATCCGGGATGTCTTATCGGTGCTCACCCCCCCCCCGTCAAAAAAATTGACTATCCCGTTGACTAAGTGTTACGCTGAGCCAATACCGTGGACAGGATGATCAAGTGTCACGATAACTGATCATCGGTTGAATCCTGGTGCCATTTGTGACAAATGTCATTGTCTGTCGTGCAGGTGCGAAATATTGCCAAGTAGCCGGATTATGTACGGCACATGTATCTCTCAACACGACTTGGGTGCGCATGAATCCGTTATTTTAACTTTTATAGCGCTTGCCCAAATGATTCTACGTTGTTAAACGTGGTACTGACGGAACATAAAATACAGACAAGCGAAATTTTAATGCCATTACTGCCATCTATCTGAACTCAGGAAATGTAGCTTGAGAAACCGCAAATTTCCGTGCGAACATCGGAAGGCTATAAGCTACCCACTCTGACGATATCTTCGACGCACAAAGATACGTAAATAATAACACTGCCGTTCACATTCGCTATGTGGTGCATTCCCTAGTTCGCACCCTTGATTCTTGGGTTCACTGTGAATATGTTGTTGTATGCAAAAGAGCACCGACAATTGTCTACACCGCACAAAGGACAAAGTGTCTCCATTAGCGACGTGTGCAGTTTTGTCACTATTTCGTTTGCAACATTTAACCGTAGTTTAACCCGGCCAGCGCTGGGCACGTTGACTGAGTGTACTCACAAACTTACGTATGTGTATACGTATTTTGAGAACACTGTGAATACTCACAAGTCCCTACGCGCTGCCAGTAACGTGCTATACAACCAGATACATAAAAAACTAGGCCAGCAATGTGATCAAAACATGTCACTTTTTCTAGACCATTGAGAGAATGCACATGCATATGTCGAATAGCATTACGACATCCCACAATGCTGATATCCTTGGTGGTTGCTCCGACAATGCGTTCAAGGAACTGCGGCCTCCATTCCACCTGCGTCATGAGTTTCTGGGGGTCCCTGGCCAGAAGTTCCTCGTAGTGCACTCTCATCTCCTTCTTCACTCTGGCCTTCACCACCTGCCAAACATTCTCGATCGGATTGAGGAACGGAGAGTATGGGCTCAATCTCAGGATGATTACTCCCTCGTATCCATCTATTGACGACAGTTCTTCCAGTCATGTGTGACATTGTGCATACCACGACAACCTGCCGGAGCTCCACCTCCCGTTTCTGATTGTCTAAATAGTTTCGCAACCATTCGAGAGATAGGGGACCTGTGAATGAGCCTCTCCGGGTGGTCATCGACATTTTCCCTTCCATTGTGAGTGCACCGATCAAATGCAAATTGAGGCCTCTACTGTTGGCAACTTTGCAACAGGCCCTTACTCCTATGGGCGCCCGACCACGAGTACGTTGCAGTAAACGTTGAGGTTCGCCTCGTCAATCCAAATGAAGAAATTGCCATCGCTCTCAAGTTGCAGAAACTGCTAAACGAACTCCCTGCGTATCACTTTTGTTCGCTCATTGTTCATTTCCTCGGGAACCTGATCGATGTTCTTCATAGTTATCAATCAACCATCCAGGTGCCGGGCGATTGTTGACTTCGAAATGTCCTTGTCCATTTCTGCTAGTACTCGTACTCCCATTTCCCGTTGCGTAAGAGTTGAGTCCCTTGCGGTCCAATCCAGGATGTCATCTACGTCTTCCTCTGACAGAATCCGCTTACGACCGCGCGTCTGCGGAGTACTCGGCTCCTCATCAAGAGAATGACGAATCCAGGAGTAGGCTGTTTGATATTTGACGTGGTTCCCAGTTGTCACCAGCTGCCAATCATCACCGTTGACGAAGGCGCCCAAAACTCGGTCAAGAATGTCTGATGAGATACTCTGTCGAACGCGAGAAGGCATGCCGACGACGTTAGTAGCACAGACATGGTTTCGGTCGTGCGCTTATGTTCCAGCTGTCCATTGCTCTCAGACCAATTGTGATCCACTGTTTCGGACGTGAGGGAAGCGCATACAAGCCCGTTGCACCGCCGAAGTGCATGCCTCTAAGGTTCATTCACAAGTCTCAGCTAGTGAACGGGCAGCGTGCTCACCTCCCCAGACTGACGCACCGAAGATTGGCATCCGGCCAATGAGAACACACTTAAGGTCAGAGGAATGCCTCTGAGCGGCTGAAGAATCGCGGATGGTTTTGCAACATTTTGGACTTTCTTTGCAAAAGTTTGCGCATTCTGTGCAATATTTTGCGCATTCTGTGCAATATTTTGGACCAGTTGTGCAACTTTGCGTTAAATGCTATAGTTTATCCCTATGTGTACTTGCTTTGTCTCCATGCCTTTTATGGGGACCCAACGTCCCTATAATTATTAAAGGCTGAAATTACCGAAGGCTGGAAACCCGATTCACTCGAGTGCACATGTACTCAGACCAGACAAAACGCACACGTTTCAGTCAGCCTTCCAACTCGTGTAACGTGCACTTTGTTTAGCCTTTGCACCCAGAAACAGTCTTGTTTCCAACCAAACACGCATGGTTGTATACAAACAACATTCATTTTTCCGGACAACTCTCGCCAAACTTCCAACATTTCTGCTCAGTTTACGGACTTTGCACATTTACACAAAACCATGTTTCTTGTTTCCAGGGTTTGGTTGCGCAAACCCTTCCAAGGAAAAACCCCCCTTCATCTCTGTTTCGTGATATAAAAATGAGGCTGTAGAACGCTAGAATCGCCTTCGCTTTGGCCAGTAAAAGCGCCTGTGGCAAAGGCCTGTCTTGTTCTTGCTTCAGTCTTGGGTTGGGAAATCGTGCGTAGAAACTTTGCGTTCGGTCTAGGAACCCGTTCGACTCGCGTGAACCCACAGACTTCGAGATTGTCAGTTACCGTGCCGTGCGAGAAATAATTCTGAGTCTACGTTCGTTCATCTGACTAGGAGTGTTTGTATCACATTGTTCGAATCTGACGTATTCAAGAGGCAGTATTCAACAATGCCAAATAAATTTCCGATCGAAGACCATTGTATAAGCAAAATAGGGCTATGATACTTTTGGTAAACTGGATTACCCATTTAAGGATACGGGATCCCGATTTTAAAATCCTTCATTCCTCCCACACAGGATTTTGCACATGTGTGCCTCGAACACTTGCATTAGTAATCTCTTATCGCTTTTACTCCGCATCATTGGCACATCTTTTAATCCTCAAGGCCAAATATTTCACTTTATGTCAGATCATCTTTTTGCGATCTGCGAAATTGCAACGGTTCCTCATGCTGCCGCACGTCCTACTGTCTCTGGCCTTTTGATTACGATTACAAGCATCTCATAATTTGTTTACTATCTTTAGTTTGAATTATAGAATCATGGTAACATGAAGTTGTGTTTTATTTTCTCTGCCCAGAGTGTGCACATATTATAGGTTCAATAGTCTGCAGGTCTGTGATCCCGTCTAGTGCGATTTACTTTCTCTAGATTTCATATCATCGCTACGGACATCGTATTTGCGAAACTGATAATAACAGTTTACCAGCGAACATTTAAAACGCTCCACGGCCATGATTGATTCCGGGACTAGCCCTTTTGTCTGGGCAAATAACTTCAGCCTCTTACTAACTACTGAATACGACTAAGACGTTTGGCTCTAGAAATGACGTCAGCTTAAGGCACAAGCTTCGTTCCCAAACTGACCTGAGAAATACGTACACAACTTTAAAGTTGGACTTGGAGAATCCTCTGTGTGGGGTGCCAGTGTTGGGATGAGCAACACCAAAATATTGCCACGTGCACAACTTCTTTAATTTGAAAATGAGCATCACTTTGGTCGAAGTGTTGTCACTTGGCTTAAAATTTTCCGCGCTTAGACACAAAGATAAGCAGCTGCACTATGAGTTGCCATTTGAAGGCTTATTCGGCCAGACAAATGAGTTAGTCCCGAAATAAATCATAGACCTGGAGGGCTTTAAATGTTCGCTGGTAAACTGCTGTGACTAGTCTCGCAAGTATGATGTCCGGAACAGTGGCCCTTTGACACGAAAGCACTGTAACACTCTAAAGGAGTTAAGACGCAACAAAGTTATCATAGTCTGCAGACCAAACAAGGGTACCGGAGTTGTGCTATTAAATAGAATGGACTTCATAGACAAACACACTACATTGTTTAGGGATGAGACCAAATATTCCTGTACCATGGGAGAAAGAGAGCAGACGGAACAAATTGAGCGACATATTACTAATACCCTGTAGGAGCTTCTAAATAAGGGTTACATTACACCTACCATTTATGAAAGCCTGAATCCAAGCGGCACGAACATCTTGAGGCTTTATGCGTTACACAAGATTTATAAGGCTGGCTTTCCCCTTCACCCCATTTTGCCCATGGTTAATTCGCTATGGCATACGCTCGCGCAGTGGCTTGTTAAAATACTTGAGCTGGTAAGACAGCAGCTAACATCTTACAGTCTTGGAGATGGTTGTCAGTTCCTTGAAAACATCATATATTGCAACGCCATCGACAAAGTAATGTTCTCCCTTGACGCCGTCTCGCATTTCAGCAACCTTCCGCTACTGGAGACGATCGATTACATATGTGATCATCTAAAAAATTCACAAATGTAGATGTGGGTCCCGGTGCGTAAATTGAAATGCCTCCTTTTGCGGCCTACCTGGAATGTGCAGTTCTTATTTAATGTTAAGTATTATCAGCAGAAAGATTGTGTTCCCTAGGATCTCCACACCGTCCATTATTGGTCGATACTTTCATGACAAAATTAGAGCACCCATGCTACAAATGGTGACAAATACCTTTGAATGCTATCACCGCTACATGGAGGATATTTTTGTTGTAGCTAATACGAACACCAACATCGGTAAAGTTCTCGACCAATTTAATCAGGCCCACGCAGCGATGCAGTTTACGTGTGAGAAAGAAACAAGTAATTAGCTGCCATTCCTTGACGTGTTGCGAATCAGAAGAACGGAAAGCTCCGTCCAACCTCGGATTTACCGCAAATATATGTGAACCGGACAATATAACAACTTCTGCAGCTTTGTTCCTCTGTGGTTTAAGCGAAACTTGATTCACTTACACCAAGAGCACGTAAGATTTTTCCTGAAAACACTTTGAAGGATAAGCTTATATTCATTCAGGATATCCTGCCTGAAAGAGGGAATCCTGACAGATTCATTTCTAGGAACATGCAGGAGAAACCCAACCCACTACCGGTTTTAATAGTCGTGAAGAAAAAGCTAGTCAGAAGGCATCCTTTCAAAGAGTCCGCGGCTGCAAAATATTTAGCTAGAAGCCTGTCATTTGCACTTAGGTCTACTTTCGCAGCGGCTGCCCTGAAACGCCCGTTCTCTTCAGAACCGCTCATTCGTTAGCATATCAAGGACACGCTGCGGACGCTGACTGCTTCAACGGTCATTTCTCAATTCGAGGGCGCCTGTGACGAAATTATGTCGGTCGAATGGCACGACAACTGTCGAATCGAGTCAATGAGCATCACCCATGTTGCTTACGTCAAGCTGACACTGGGGCTATTAATAGCTCCATTTTGGTTCACATTGTCGACACTGGGCGTCCGATAGAAGTGAACCGTGACTTTCGGGTTATCTACAGTAATATCCTTTTGCAATCGAGAGGCTTACGCCTCTTATGTTCCCAAAAGCCCAGGCAGTCGGTATTCGGTTCCTTCAACCTCCATTATGTTCCCAAAAGTAACTTCCTCAGACACTGCAGCTGCCTTGGCCAGCAAAGCGGAAGAGGCGAAAGACAGTTTTACAGGATGAAAACGCATTTATCCTGGCTAAGACTGCCCGTCGGTTCATGGACCTGGTGGGCAGGTGCTTTATTTCATTTAAATTAATCCGATCACTTCTCACCCGAACTGATCTTTTCCTTATGTGGCTGTACAGGTGTGATGAGAAATCACTGAACACAATTATTCATCTCTGGCTCCATGTTTTTGATACTTAAATGATGCTTTTTAAGTTGGTGAAATTGTCAACACCGTACGCTGTTGTTAGATTGCGCTTTCGTTGGACTGCAAGGTTATGTGATCGGTGGTTCTGGCTTTCTGCCAAGTGACGATTGTCTACTATTTATCTTTTCATTCACGGTAGCGGTCTTTTTAGCATAAGTGACCCTAAAGGTAGTCTGACGGATAATCTTTTAAGCGATTTCGGTAAATGTGACTGATTACGCGAGAAGCTTAGCTTGACAAAAGACTCCTGAGCCACAGATGAAGAAGGCTTGTGTTCAGCTGACCCACCCTTGCTGATAATAGATATTATTACAGACGTCGGAACGTAATCAATCACGTGTTTCGGTTGATGTCTGATCTTCGTGATCATGCGTACCGCTTGGCTATCAGATTCCCAGTCTAGTTTCGTCTGACCTTCGGCCATAGTTAGAATGATAATAGTGATGGGAACTTGGCCGATTGTGGTTCGATGGAAGTAGAGTGTGTACCATCGTTTTCTTAGAGGCCACTACGCCATCTTGACGCGTACTCGCTTCCGATGTGGTACGCATAGCATTCCTTCACTTTTAACCTGCTACTAACCGGTCTTGCATTGGGACTATAATTAGCAACACTTGACCAATGGGCTAGTCGAACACGTACCACAAAACCAGAAGAGCTCTTGGGGGCTGTTTCGATCTCCCACCTCACGTTGAACAAACATTGAACACGTTGAATGATACCGTTTGGAACAGTACTAGCAGGTTAACCCTGAGTTGACTAACCTATTGCATTCTCCTGACCCATAGGCAACCTTCATTTGGAGCCGTTTTGGATTCGCATCTGTCTGCGTTCTTCGACCCAACATAGTATTGTTGCCTGACTCAGTGAGCTGGTTGATCTTCCGACGTTAGGCGGTTGCGCACCCCGCTCAGACGAGTGATATGGTTAGCAAGGTCACATGCGCGCGAAGTAGCGCGCGATGTAGCTGCGACGGTCGCTGTGCTTGTTTACGCCAACGCAACAGTTGACGAGGTCATAAAGACTGTCGACTGACTTTGGGTTATCGGGCAATTCCACTTGAACACTGAGCGTACATCAACCTGCTATAAGATACTAGGCAGCTACTGCAAATAGTATAGTAGAAACAAGAATTCCAGTTAGTTTGTGGGCCTCAACGAAATTCTTTCGGAAGAGTGTAAAATGTCCGCGAAATGCTAGAACACTGTGTAGTTGCACGCGGGGGTTTCAGCAACAAAATCCGTCACAAATTTAGACATGAATCAATGTTTATGCGGCAGGATGAATCCAATAGATAAGTGCTCACCTTTTAGAGCTGATAGATATGCGTCGAATGGATTTTAGTTCGATGATGTGCAATAAAGTAGTGGGTATGTTCGAAAAATTGCAAAAGCGCCAGAGCAATGCAAACGCACGGTAGGAGCCATAGTTGTGCGACAATGAACCATCATTTCCATTCCTAGTCCTACGCATCTTTGGTTGGCAATGGTGGGTGGTATGAAAGAGAATCCACAGATGACTACGTAACAAACTACGGCAGCGTGACTCGCATTCATTTACTTGCACTTAGCCGTCTTTATGCATGTAAGTGTGGTCTTCGCTAGGTACCCCTTTCCAAACTGCAGTCGAAAAGCAATCAATTGTGTCTAGCGCCTTTCATGATTTTGGAGCTCGTGATGATAGAGCTAGATGTTATAAACTCCACACTGCTATTGCATGACGGCTTCTCGAGAAACTGTACCACTGTTACTCAGATTGTTTTCCAAAACTACTGCAGGCACTTACTTGTAGCTTTTGTACATCTCGACGGAGGTCCAGATTTTCCTCTTCCAGTTGCCTGATTGTGAGCAGGTGCTCCTTATTTTCAATCAACATCTTAGATGATTGTTCTTGCTCCCATGACCGCTCTCTATCGATCTACAGGAGGAAAGGCACAAAACAAATTAGCTGGTTATCTAGCATGCAACAAAGCACTACATCTGCCCAATCAACCAAGCTAGGTTAGTTAGGGTGAGATAGAACCAACACAACTATCGGTTTAGTTGACCTCATTTCCACTTTCCAGAGATATGGCGTAACGAATGGCAGTCTAGTGAGCTTTCATTCTGCTCGGAGCAACCGGCACTTCAGCGGTCTGTAGGCGGCAGCCAGAAGCTTTAACACAAGACTGTTTGCTACCCTATTCATCGTCTGTCAAGTGCCACACAAACGGTAGAGGATAACTGATCTAGTGATAGGAATGTGGAACTGCAAAGCCGCATGCGGTGCTTTGCCAGTTCCCTCTAGATGCGAGCGCGGTTCGCTTCATTTACTCTACCTATGTGTGTCGAAATTATAACTTTTACTTGACTGATTTTTGTCATTTACTTAAAGACTGGGTTCGATTTGGTTTGGATGACAACAAATGAGTAACAAACGATGATATACGATATATTCGATCATATCTAACTTTATGATATTCCTTATACTGCAGGGCTGACGTTGGAGTCGCAGCTCGAAAGCAATGAGTTAGACCGGCAATGTTTATCATAAGTTCGCTTTTGTACATTGGCTTTGTGCTGAACTAAAAATACAGTAGTAATACCTCAAATAGTGCCTACTGATAAAAAAAATTGGAGAAAATCAAATACCGACAGTTTCATTACCATAATCGGCGCACTAACGTTGTGGCTTTAAATTACCAGTCATACTGCTGTGTCTCATTCTTCCTACTTCTATCGTTATATAATGTCATAACCAAAGCATAAGAACCATTTTGCTTCACATTTTACGCTTATTCATCCTGTGCTGGTTTTGTAGTCTGAGGATAGTGACCTGAGTTTGGGACTGACGGTCTGGCTCGACCTTAAGGCTGTTTTGTATCTTTCCTGATGTATTACCCCGCAGTTACCCTAGGATTACTTTCCTCCGGTCGACCTAGGTGGTATTTTCGGCCTGGAAACAAGAATCTTGGTATTTATTACCAGTCGTATCCCTATGTCGAGATCGCGATACATCATAAAGCAATATGCCAGTTTTACTCTGTGCACAACCCGCCTTTGAGTTAATTTACAGCACCTTAAGACAGTATTGGTAAAAGCTTGTGTCGGTAATATAACTTTATCATGCTCGTATTTAAAACCGTGTGAATACTGTGCATTCTTTACACCAAATAACTGACCACGCAATGTTCGCGGATAATCTTGCCCCCACACTGTGTAGCCCACCTGTTCCAACAAAAGAATTTGTACACCGATCCGCGGTAGCGTCTATTAAGGCAAACACACTATCAGTGTTAATGCTTAGGTAATGCTGTTACAACTGCCTTGGTGAAGTCTGAAAGCTATGTTGTAACATCTCCACAAGGTTCAAGACTTGTTTTCATCACACTTGTCGGCACCACAGAGTCAAGTAGTTGGAAACAGGAGATCATAAGCGTCAATCAGCCTCACTTTATTTCTTACAGACCAGAACAGAAAAAGGTATACTTGTGTATTAAACTCACCCTGTCTATCGTCTTTTTCAGTTGATTGAGCTCTTTTGCCAGCCGTTTGGATTCACTCTGCAATTCGTGTTTTTCCAAACCGAGGTTGTTTACTTGGCGAAGTAGCTCTGCGTTCCGTTCCGTCAACGCCGTGTTCTCACCTGTCGGGCGTAAAGAATAGGCAGAGCTGTTTCATGTTGAAAGCTTCCGGACTAGTTAGTTCACTTAGACAAGTATGGGGCATTTTAGACTTTTAGTAAGCTTTACGAAACCTGAGTCACCCATTTATTCACTGTGCAGCTACCCAAGATTCTAATTTGCTCCTTTTGCGACTACCATGGCTGGTGTTAAGTTAGCATCCTCAACATTATTAAATAAACTAACAGTGGGTAAACCGTTGCCAAAGGACACTTCTGTTCTATGCTGGTGGGCTTTTAAATCAGAGGAAATGATCGTGATATCCTCAAACTAAAAAGAGAGATAAATCTTATTTCTGATGTTAGAATACGGGAGCATTGCAAGAAAATCTGCAACTGGAGGCTCCTCTAACTATGTTAGAAGTGTACCTGAAGGATGTTTCGAGCGGTAACAAATTCTCCGATTTATACGATGCAAATTTTGTCTACAGTACGTATTAAGCATTCGGATACCGCTTGCATAGTGAGTGTCCACATATGAAGAAACTTCCTAGCGATATCACATCACTGAATGACACCCAGTCACTCGATGAGTAGAAATTTCGCTTGTTCACCAAGAATTCACAGACCCCCAAGACATCGTCAAATAGCCGCATGCAGACGCGTTCGTAGTTTAGGATAAAGTGAAGAGGGATGGACATGCAACTGAGACGCAACTGAACGATTTTTATTCTTCGGTGTGTATTCTGATTTCCTATTCTTCCGTGGCTTGGTTACTGACATGCACGTTGCTACATTTTCAACAAAATCTGTCGTACCAGGGGTAGCCTGTTTCCCTTTGTAAGGTTCCGTCGCTTGTCAAACTATGTATAGTTTTCGAACTAATACCTCATAATAGTGCACTCCAGAACTGGTTGCGTCTTCGTTCACACCCGTCAATTTGAATTCTGCGGTTTGAAGTGGAACCCGTAAAGTAGAAATTGCGGATGGAGACCTTCATTGCGACCTCACCAAGCTCCGAATAGAGGTTTCATGTTGCCAGTAAATCAGGCAATTCATTCTCTAATAACCTAAAAACAAACACTGAGGCTGCTTCACTAGATAACTACCAATGGCAAAGCATAAACAATACTTTGAAATGGTGCTTGATTCACATTTAACCGCAAATGCCTTTAGGTGAACTGAGAAACAATTATTCTACCGCATGAATATGAATAAGGACTCGCCTGAATAAATATCGCAGTACCAGCGTCGTCCAGGTGCATCCATGTTCCTACTCAGTAACCGAAAGCCCTTACTGCCTACATAGGTGTCACTTGCGATCGTGGTTGCTCTGGATAAGCTAGTTATACCTAGTCCTTCATCTCTATGCCACTTTGTAAAGCGAATACAAATTACCCTCTTAACCCAGGGCTCACCACTGTTCAAATGCACTTTGAGTACATCAACTTGACACGTCTGTAGCAATGTCACATGGCCGTTTCCTTATTACGTTTCTTATTTTCATTGCGAAGATGAACTATATCACGTGAGACCTAGATCAATTTGCTGTGGGTCACGATACGTATGTTTTACCAGTTTTTAACAGGTCTTTCTTGTATTTCATTGTCGTACCCACCGTTACAACACTGGACCTTGATATTGTCCGATGGTTTGCGTTCCCTCTTGGACTCACTGAGCTGCGCTAGATGACATTTTCCAAGTTCCTGCAGAGCCAATCATACTAGACAGGTCAGCATTGACGCGTCAGATTAACTCAATCTCACAACCCTCCTCGGAAGTCAGGCACAGACCGATGGCCCCCTTGTCTTGATACCTAGCCATGGAAGACAACAGGACTAGTGGTTAAAAGCTCACAGCTCGATTGTCGCAGAGCACCAGCGCCACGTATTGTCACTGACGGTAGGCTTGTACTTCCCCATGCTAAATAGTTTTCTCCCACCCATCTCAAGCCAAGAAGCACATGGTCAAAATAGCGCAAACTCACCAACTCTTTCATGAGACTGGATGTGGTCACAGGTGCGCAGCATAATACAATCGTAAAACACAAGTGTATCATTCTAACTTTTCAAAAGCTGTGAGTGACAGGCTTCCAGCGAATCCCAACGGCTCGCTGGAATCACACACATAACCTGGACTTATTCCCTACTACCTTGTGGGTCAGGTTGTTGAGTCAAAGGCTTCGGGTGGAATCCCACAACCTAACGTCTATGAACCCCACTGACTTGGGGGGTCAGACTGTTGAGTCAATGGCTAGAAGCAGTGCACCTCGGACAAAACCCCTCTCTCGGACTATGCCGCCGGAGCATAATCCAACTTTTCCACACCGTTGAAAATATGCCCTCTTTGTTTTTCTCCGCTTGTAACTCTCGTCTCCCCTATCTACTAAGCAAGAAACTGCCGCTGACCTCGCATCTGCCACCACTGATACATGTAACTCGTCCGTCAGACCAAGGTCACGTTCCACATTGGTTCGTTTTTGTGTGTACGCTGCGTCGAATAAAACAGCATGCAGCACTAACTCTCATTCTTTCTTGGTATTGATGTGTGTTTTATCTCCGAACTACGCATACAAGATAACAGCTTTGTGACGAATCTTCGACTCCCTGGTTTTGAATCTGCGGACAATGACTGCACTATTAGCCTCTCTGGCGATACTGAGTCAATGACACAAGCTATTTACGGTGACTGTATCGCCCACAGCAAACATGTTGAAATCATTCTACTCTATTAGATGCGAGTGAATGGCTGCATGTATGCCTTTCGACTTCGAACCTCTACTGAGTTCAATAAGCACCATTTAAATATAAAGTGCTTTTCCGTCGTTTCCGTTTGAGCGCTCATTGACTACAGTTCGGTGATTTCCATTATAAGCTCCCATCTGTTCTGTGTATGGCGAAAAATACTGCTATTTGATTGTTGCCGGTGGCCTGAATTCCAAAGTGGGTAGTCTTTTGGACTCTGAACAAGATCTGGGCGGCCACTCCGGATTCGATGCAGGCCGGACAGACAATGACGATCTATTTCTGCCATTATGCGCCGACCACAATCCTTAGCGGCACTGCTTTCAGCACAAACACTCAACTCATGTCATCTAGCGCCTACCGAATCCCTTATTGACATAACCCAAATTGAGCATACTGCCAGTAGCTACAGATTACGCACATAAGTCCAAGACCTTAGGTCAATATGGAGCACGTGGCTGGATTCCGACCACGTCCTAGTGCGCGCAAACTTTGTGTTCACTCTTCCGACTTCAAAGAAGCGGCTAACTTCTAAACTTCTCACTTGTACCTTGATACCGCAATCCCAATACAACAACATCGTGATGAACTGGTCCACCAATTGTCAGTGGTGAGTGAGACTGAGGCTGAGACTGTATTTAAGAGCAAGTAGAAAGGTTTTTATACAAAGCTAACGAATTATGAAAAATCAAAAACGTTTATTTATGAATCGTCAGCGTTTATGGTTGGTCAGTCGATCGTTTATCCTTGTTCGGTTAGGAATTTGTATTGGTGTCATTATTTCCACGTATACGATGTCTTTTGGCATTGTATCTGCGTCCTTTTCACAAAAGCACAGGTTTCCGAAATAATCTTGGAAACGTGTTTTCAAACACTTCACAGAATCCGCCTTTATTAATCCTTCTGGCAGTGTGTTCCATAAGATTACGATTCTTCGTTCTATACAAAGCTGCTGTTATACGTTGTTAATGCAGGAGACCCTGAATTTGTAACGGTGTCCTCTGGTGTTACACGGTTCCGGTAGGTGAAATATTGGCCGCTGTGTGGGGAAGTGGTTCAAGTGTAGTACTCCGTGAATTATAATACGGTCAAATCTTATTTGCCGGTGGGACAGTGTAGAGTCCGAGTCTTTCACAACGTATTTCATACGGAAGCTTTCGTAGACTCGGTATCATTCTATTTGCGATTTGCTGTATTCGCTCCAGCTTTTCAGTTCCCACTGGGTTATCGGATGGCAAGCTGATGCACCGTATTCAAGCATTGGTCTAATGAGCGATGTCAATAGACGAGGGACCGTTTCTTCGGACTATGTGGGGAAATTGCGTCTTAATGCCCAGAGCATACGAAGTCCCGCAAGGTACGATTTCACTGTATTTTCTAGGAATCTCATATCATGTCGCGACAGCACTCCTAAGTCTCTGACAGATGTGTTAGGGTGGAGCAACTGACCATCCAAGATGTATGATCGGTTGGCTAGACGTCTGGTGCTGCTGATAAACAACTTGCTTACGTTAACAAGGAGTTGCATTTCAACGAACCAGGTAGACAGTCGCTCTAATTCATTCTGGAGGCGAGCGCAGTCGTCCTGGTTCTGAATGATCCTCCAGCTTTTCAAATCATCTGGAAACAGGGCACATGGTGACTGGAGCTGGTGCGGAAAACGGTGGATATGAATAAGAAATAATATTGGCACAAGTACAGTTCCTTGAGGCACACCACTGGTCGATGTGAACCAGTCTGTTAGGTAGTCATTGACCTGTACTCTAAAGTTTCGTCCCGTAATAAACTCATGTAACCACTTAAGTAGCGTGCCACCGATTCCGTAAGTCTTCAGTTCACGAAGGAGTACCTCGTGCTCCACTCTGTCAAGCGCCTTACGAAAGCCGATGTACACCACACCAACATCTTTCTGTTCCTTGAGAGCTTGTACCCACTGGTGATTTGCGTACATCAAGTTGGTGATGCGGGCGTCAATAGGTCCATCGATTCGAAGAACGACAGCAAACTTTTTCACAACATTCTCGAGCATTTTGGATAATACCGAAGTCAAACAGATCAGCCTATAATTCTCTATTTTACTCGGATCACCACCCTTAGGAGGCGATCTCACCATCGAGCATTTCCAGTCGTTCGGGACAGATCCTTCAGAGAGCGGTTTGTTGAAAAGGTTTGTCACTGCTGATGAGATGATAATCGATAGGGACTTGAGTGTTAGTGGGTGAACTCCGTCTGGTCTGGGCGGCTTTTGCACCATCGAGATTGACGAGTAGCTGAAACACT